CTTAGTTACTTCAATGTTGAATAAAGAGGCTTGTATTTCTGATTTATGGACCCTCGACTCGCTTGGTATTACGGACCCATCCGAACAAAAGACTAAATTGGAATTGTATGAGGCTACCAGGCAACATTTTCTTGATACTGTAAAAAGAAAGATGACCCCGCTTTGTAGTGTCTTTGCCTTGGTTGGAAGGGCACCCTTCCCCTGTCGGATAATTTTGAGTTATCGCTTAAAAGGTTGCACGGTACGATTAGGCAACTTGAAATAGATAATCTTCGCCAAGAGTATGAAAATATATTCCAAGAATGGCTCAAAAGAGGGCATAATAGAGGAAGTACCGTAAATTAATTAGATTTACCCCATCATTATTTGCCACATAGACATGTTGTTAAGGAACATAGTACTACGAAGTTACGGCCAGTATTTGACGCTTCGTCTAAAGTAAAGGGTTCTCCGAGTCTCAACGATTGTCTTGAAAAGGGATTAAACCTTATTTCATTTATTCCTACAATCTTAAATAGATTTCGCCAAGAAAAAATAGGGGTGATTTCTGATATTCGTAAAGGCCTTTCTACAAAATTGGCCTGAATTCTAGTGACAGAAACTTCCTCCGATTTCTTTGGATAAAGGGTGAAGATGGCTTGAAGCATTTTCGTCATTGTCGAGTTGTATTTGGTGTAACCAGTAGTCCATTTTACTTGGAGCTGTTATTCAATATCAACTTAAATTCAATTTTGGAGAAAAATGATGCAGATGTAAAAATATTCCTTCCAACATTATTGTTAAATTAATGAATAGTTTCTATGGTTGATAACTGTGTAACAAGTGTCGGTAAGTGAAGATGAATTACAGCGCTTCATGAAAGTATCTTCAGATGTTATGGCAGAACGAAAATTTGAATTACGGGGTTGGGAATATACCGACTGTAGTTTAGAAACAGAAACTATTGCGAATGTATTAGGTTTGTTATGGGAAAGACAAGGCGATACTCTTCAAATAAATGTTGCTAATTTACAAATCTTTGTTTCGAGAAGTTACGAAAAGAAGTATTTTGGCAATAGCCCATAAAGTATTTGATCCCATCGGTATAACATGTCCAGTCCTTATATTACCTAAGATGTTATTACAGCGTACATGGGAAACAAAAGTAAAATGGGACGAAGAAGTTAACACCGAAATTAAAGTAAATTTTTTGAAATGGGTAAAAAAGACATTTCTCTTTTGAAAAACATTAAAATTCCAAGGTGGATACGATATCAGCCAAAACAGTGTTCAATCCATGTTTTCTGTGACGCCAGTCAAGCAGCGTATGCGGCAGTAGTTTTTATTCGTGTAGAAGAACCTGAATCAGGTTGAAAGTCCCAGTTTGCTTCAGGCTAGGTCTAGAGTTTCCCCTTGTGGTAAAAAGGAAACGACCATTGTAAGATTAGAATTGTTAGCAGCAACTATTGCATCTCTCGTCTTGCTGCAGACGTTCTAAAAGACTTTGAGGCCAGAAAGTACATTTTTCTGGACAGATTCAACTACTGTCCTTGCATGGATAAAAAGGGAAGAACGATGGGGGACATTTGTAGAAAATAGAGTACAGGAAATAAGGCTTTTGACACGTGTGGAGGATTGGAGGCATATACCTGGTCACCTTAACCCTGCAGATCTTCCAAGTAGAGGGTGTTCAGTTCGCCAACTCTCCCGGTCAAAATGGTGGGAGGGTCCGAGCTGGCTTTTAAAATCGCAAGAAAATTGGCCGAGTGCCGAATTTATAACTGATGAAGCGGAAATAGCCAGCGAGAAAAAAAAGGCAGTGGTTTCATCTCTAGTGTCTACTGAAAGGTTTAGTTTGAGTGAGCGATTTTCTAGCTATCGAAAAACAGTTAGAGTTGTTGGTTGGATTCAACGATTTTTCTTTAATTGCAGAAATAAGAAAAAAAGGAAAGGTGAACTCACTGTTGATGAAATTGATTTTGCAGAAAAGGTTGTTATTCGCTTGATTCAATCGGAATCGTTTCAGGATATAGAAGACGCACGCTTACGAACTCTTAGTCCATTTTATGATGCGGGAATTGTAAGAATTAAAACTGGTGCGTTTCGAAGAGATGACACGTTAGAGTTTAGAACACCTATAATATTACCAGGAGAACATCCATTAGTTAGGAAATTTAATTATGGAAGAACATAAAAAGAAAGGACATGCAGGTGTACAATATATACTGAATACCTTAAGGGAAAGGTTTTGGTTGTTATCTGGCAGAAGAACTGGTGCGTTCTGTTTTGAGTAAATGCATTACTTGCAAGAGATATTCTGCTGCACCTGTTGACCACATATCAGCCCCACCGCCAATAGAGCGAGTAAATGATTCAGCAGTATTTCAAGTAACGGGTAGGTCACATTAAAGTTACCTTTGTGGTCCTTTATTGTTGAGAAACAAAAAGAAAAGGCATGGATTTGTGTTTTTACATGCGCCGTTTATAGAGCGGTCCATTTGGAGTTGCTGACTTCTCTACCTACAGAAGTGTTTCTTCAGGCTTTTCATCGGTTCGTGTCACGAAGAGGTAAACCCACAACTGTGTACAGTGATAATGGAACTAATTTTGTAGGAGCTTCAAATGCATTTAAATTAATAGATTTTGAACAAATTAATCGGCAGGCAGCCAATGAGCGGATAACATGGAAATTTATTCCCCTAAGTATTCCCCTGGTGCTCCATGGTGGGGTGGTTGGTGGGAACGTCTGATCGGAATGATGAAGCAAGTCCTTAAAAAAGTTCTTAAACATGCTTGTTTAAATTATGAAGAAATGTACACGATACTGTGTGACTGTGAAGCGATTCTTAATGACCGACCGTTGACAGTAATTCCTTCCGATCCTGAATTTAAAGCTTTAACTCCTGCCGACTTTTTAAAAGAAATTAGAACTAGTAGTTTGCGGGATATAAAATACGGTATTAAATCAAGTAATTTACAAAGAAGATTTCAGTATATTCAAACTGTACGAGAAGCATTTAAAAATAGATTTCGTAAAGAATATTTGGGAATTCTCAAGGTTTCGCATAAAAGAGCTGAAAGGAAAGTTACTATTAAATTAGATGATATTGTTTTGATCGGTAGTAGTGACAAAAGAACTTTTTTGGCAACTTGGTCGTGTCATAGAACTACTTCCAGGACCTGATGGAATAAATCGGCTTGCAAGAGTAAAGACCCGAAATGGAATTTTGCTTAGAGCAGTTCGAACTCTTGTATCCTTTAGAGGTAAGCGCAAAATGATGTACCCGTGAAGCTGCAGAATGAAAAACAAGATTCTTTGTCTGAACTTTAAACTCAACGTATAGATGATAAATCTGTCAGACCTGTAACACGATCTGGTAGAACTGTAACTCCGCCGGACAGACTGGCATATTAAGGCTCTTTGGCATTGTTTTACTTTGATGTGAAAGTTCACTTTTTTTTTTTTTTTTTTTTTTTTTTTCCCTTAGGTGGAAGGATGTTAAATATTTGCATAATTGTCGCCTGTAGTAACGGCAACCGCCGGCAATAAAAGGAGGTGCTTTCCTTGCTTAGTGGCACCGCAGTTCCTTTTCAGTTCGAGCCAGAATAGACCTGCCCGGGGAGAAGCCAGGGGATGAGAGATTCCGGTTTCCGCCCTGTTCCGGTTCCCGTCTTGTTGCGGATCCAGTCCTGTTCCGGTTCCCGTCTTGTTCCAGTCCTGTTCCGGTCCTGATCCAGTCCTATTCCAGTTCCAGCCTGGCCGTTTAAGTCCAAAACACGTAGGAGCGGATGTCTGAATTCAGCGAATGGAGATATACGCCGAAAGGGCTAGATGGATTCTGTCTTTTAAGGGAAAGTGTTCTTCACCGTGCCGGCATAGCTGTTACTTTAAAGCACTTTGAAGTTTTCCACCCAAGATGTTAAGTTTTTGTTTGTGATGTTAAGTTTTCATCAGTGTTGAAGTTCCAGTTAAATAAACCTTTAAGTTTTAGACAAGGTTTTTGTGTTCTTCAGAAAATTTTAGATTCGAAGTCAGATACAGCACATAGGATTATTATCGGAAAAATCAACACTTCTTTAAATATTTTGCGATATTGCTGTTTAATTGAATTTTATGGTTTAAGTGCGAAAACCGTAAACCATAAATAACCATATTTAGTATATGGAACTTAAACCATATTTAATAAATAAAGGTAGCACACAAGACGTTAAAAAAAAGTCCCTTTGGGCGTAATATAAAATCTAAAAGCTTTCAGATTTTTTTGTTACTGTTACTTATTTTATTAATTTATTTTTATTTATGTTTATTCATATCGTAATTTCTTGTCACTTTTTTACCTGCAAATTTACAGCTTTAGTGACAGATTATATTTACAAACGCTGCAGTTAAATAATGTCTTCGAACTAATTGATTGAACGAAAAACGCAGTCCGTGAATGAAAATTCAATGTTTTGAACGTGAACGAATTGAAATAATATAATTAGGTTAAAATTCGAAAACGGAACTTTTTTTCGAAAGTAATCACAAAATTCTATAAAATGATACTATTCAATCGAAATTACTCTCTTAAATATCAACATGGGATAACATTTGATGTTGTTATGGAAATCTGAAGTAATTAGTTTGTGACAACTCCTACATAAAACGCATTATAACTTTCGAGTGAATAAAATATGTATGTTTACAGCGTTATCATGCACAAAATAAGAGATTTTCGTTATCAGTAGTTATTTAACCCTTGCTTCATGAATCGCTATACGTTCTATAATTACCTTAATGAATATTTGTTCAGTTCAAACAATAAAAATATTATATCTACTATTTTAGTTTGAAGTATTTGATTAATAATTTGAATATATAAAAAGGACAATAAAACGCTTTTGTAAATGTCTGTATATTTTTCAGTAGAGGTCCTATCATAATTTTTCTTCAAATATAGTGAATTATAAATATTTAAATCTGTTGATGTGCAATAAAATTACCCATTTGTAACAGCTTTCGTTTATTCTTTTTCTCCTAGTTCTGAAAGAAGAAATTCGAATTATAGAGATCAATATCCTTACAACTTGCTGCGTGATTATGAATACCAATATGAAGATCTGAAACGATAAGGAATTTGCTCTTAAATATAAGGTATGAAATTTGGAAAAAATAATGTCAATTTTATATTTATTTTAGATAATTTATACTACGATCACTAACAACATGGTTTTTGAATTACGCCTTTCTACTTATGAGCGATACACTTTTTTCGACAAATATATTGTAAATCTTATGCGAAATTTTCACCTAGTATAATAGTACAAGTTGTAAACCGTACAACAAGTACAAGCTACAACTAACAAGCAATACGTAACAAGTAACTTGTACTATTGTACTTATACTCGTTGCAACTTGAAGTGTAGTACATGTTGTAAACCTTGTGCTGTTGCACTTGTTGCTACATTCGTAACTTAGAAATACCGAAAAATTAAAACGATTGCTGAATATGTCATAAAAGTTAAAGATAAGCATATATAATGGTCTGTCTTGTGTATTGTAAGAAATTATACAGATATATATATATATATATATATATATATATAACATAACAACAGTATACATAGCATAACAACAGTATACATAGCATAACTAACAACGCGTTATGTATAATTTAGTAGTGACCAACCATGCACGCATCATGTTTTTAGACACAGAAACGAATCTTGTAGCAACCATACGAAATAAATATTGTAAGCAAACAGAGTGGCATGAATGATATTTTTCTTGTTTACATATTTATTCGCAACATTGTGTTCTTTTTTATCTCATTTACCTTACAGAGCACAGGCGTTCTAAACAATGGTTCGCGATTTCAAAAAAAGGTATTGTTCGACCTCAAACTGATATACTTAGAATGCAATAAAAGGGGCTAACGATGAAGACTTCGAACTAGCACACCGCTGAAATCATTTACTCCAAAAAGATTGCAAATTTTAAATTTCATCTTAATGCAAGAGCCGTCGATAACAATAGAATTTTTTTATTTATATTTATTATGTATAGCATCAAAGCATGCGTTAATCAGTACATCAACACTTTCACTGTATTCATTGCGACAAAAATTATCTTAAAGTTTCTATTTCTCTTGAAAAAATACTTAAAAATATTTGTCATTTCATCTCCGCAAATTTCATTAAAGACTCAAACAGGTATTGGATAAAACATTTATTGAAACCTCATTAAAACCAAAAACGGGTAAGTTAATTGCTGCGGTTACTAAAATCTTTCACAACATTTTTTGTTAATAAAATTTCCTCATGCTTCATTTCATCATTCAAACATTTTCTGAAATTAACAAAAATATAGAGTTTCAATATTTTTTAATTAAAAAATATAGATTTTTCAACAACAAGACTTCACAGATCATCAGCTCTCCATTACTACAGAGATATCAGAAAAGTTTTTTCCCTTGAACATTGCTCTCTAGATATTCTTCAGGAACCTTCTTTTCCCCCAAAAAACATCTGCCAATACTAGGATTCGTCTCAACTTATTAGAACCGTGTTCAAAGAGAGAACCCACTCGGATGTTATGCCAAAAGGGAGTTAATACAATCAACTTATTCGCTCCAAAAAATAAAATGCTTGTATTTACAGACGGTTCCTTTGATAATACTTTTCATAGAGGTGATGCTGGTCTTGTCCACCCTTCTGGTGAAAAAAACTGATTATAGAGAACTTCTCACAGGGCCTGTGAGCTATTTGGCCTATGAGAAATTATATCTTTCAAATGTCTCAGAGGCCAAACAGCCTCAAACTTCACCAGTGAATAAATTACAATCAAGGAAGCCTTTACTTTCTACGTCTTAGGTAGTTTTGATGTTTCAACGGATGGACTGGTGGTATTCTCAGACTCAAAATCAGCACTCGAAGCCATCTGTCATAAAGAAACAAGATTAACTCAAGAAATAAATTTTCTTTTCGATCAAATAAAAATACCTGCACTCTTCAATGTATCCCTGCGCGCGTGGCCATCGAGGGAAACGAGTTTACTGATGCCCTGACAAAAGGAGCTCAAGACTTGGACCAGTCCCTCATTGTTACCTTTGAAGATGCAAACGCAGTTGCAAAACGCAAACTTTTTGCTAGACATTTTAGAAAGCTACCAATTCCGGACCTTGGAAGTCGAAATCTGAGGAGGGCATCACTTTCCTGCTTCGGAAGATAATAATAGACATGCTGTTCCACCTTGACAATTTTTAAACCTAATTTTTAAAATGATTATATATTGATCTTTCACAGTTTTTTATTAATTTTTTATTTATTACAAGAATTCTGGAGTTTTATAGGGTTAGAGTCGTTTTCTCATTTGTTTTTTCTTTGATTTAAGCAATTTTATTTTATTTTATATATTTTGTTAAACATATTTCTTATGCTATAAAATCTTTTTCACAGCAGTAGCTAATGAAATTATGCACATTAGCACTTCTACGAGACGTATCTGTATGTTTATTGGCCATTTGTGCTTTAATTTAAATACTGCTTCTCTTTCTTTATTTTATTTTCTTATTTTTATCTTAAACATTTTACATTTGTACGTTTTCCCATTTCATCACGTATTTTACTATTTATATCTATTTTTATGCATTTCTATGCTTGTAGCTCTGTAATTAATCTTCTCCAAACATATAACTAAACAAAAGACGTCGTACAAAGGATCTAGACTATTTTAAAACCAAGAGAATCTTCGTCACTCGATTCTTTATCTACGAATGTGATCATAGGATATCATAGGCCACAGCGTATCATAGGCCAATAGCTACGAAAGCTTTTTCACGAAAAATAAATATGGCGTTTTCCAACGCGAATTATTTCTGAAATTCATGCACTATTCCTTCAAAGTTCACATATCGACGAAAAAGAAAGGATCTGCGGTTTGCCTTTTTTATCTAGAGAAAGGCTTGTTAAGTTAGGTGGCAGAAACAATACTTAAAAAGCCGGTAAGAGAGATTTTACAGTATGAATTAGCTATTTATTCCTGTTGTCGGTTACAAAAGTGCTTAATAGTTAGCCAATTAGCCTCTGAAGTAGAAAAAACTTCATGTGGTTTGATATATATATAGATTTTCGACAAGGAAAAGGAGCTTACCTCGGCTAATTCCCTCAAAGATCACCTGTAGTTAGAATACAAATTCCTAAAGAAGTTTATACAAATTCCCTCAAATTCCCTGAAGAATACAAATTCCCCCCTCAAAGATCACCTGTAGTTAGAATACAAATTCTGAAATATTTATTTCTGAATACTGAAAAATGTTATAATACATGTTCGTTTCTATTTGTATTTGCATTAGCTTATTCTGTAACTGTGTATGCTGTTACTGTTATATATGTAATGTATGCATTATGTATGTAAGTTATGCTCTAACTGTGGTAATTTTTTAATTAAATAATTCATGTAAAACTATATTTACGTAGTAATTTAACACTGCCGTTATTTACTGTTATTATTATTATTGAATATATTGTTATTATAGACTTTTGTCTATAGCAGCAAAGGAGCAGCAGTATGATAACAACTGTAAAGTTTAAATACTCTATTGTTAACTCTTTAAAGCACCACTTATGCTACAAAACCAAACTCCAGCACTTGATCGTATTTTAAATACCACAAGTGAATCTCCAATAGGTAACGAAGTCGAGGACTACACAAGTGGTCTACTAAGGTGGTTTGTTCAATTATTTAACAATGCATATCTATCGTCTAGCTAAATGTCTGCAGCGGTAATACACTTTGGCAGAGCTGGTGAAAGGACGTACTTTAAGGCGGGCTGCCAAAAGCTCTAGGTCTAAAAAATTCAAACCTTTTGCCTAAATACACAACAATTAATTTTTATTCTGGGGAGGACTACGGAAAGAACCAGTTACAGTAAAGGTTCAACTAATAAAAATTGGTTAATTAACAGAAAGCGTACAGTCGATCGAGTTGTTTGTATTTATGAATAAGAAACGAGGCTGTTCTTTTTTTCGGATTAATGCTTCCATTTCTTACATCATTTTTCAAAATTTAGAATTTCTTTGCTCTTGAAGAAGAGAGATCTGTACCTGACCGTTTTCTAAATCGATAATTTTATTCAAGATCTATGCCAAAGTAAGGTTGATGTTTTGCTTAATTTAAAATTTGATACTGGCATGTATCTGTTCCTGTCAGAATTTTCTTCCGAGAGATCTATATCACTGCGTATTGTAATAATAGGCGATGCAGGAAAAGATTATTGTTATAAAGTTAAATAATAATTTAAAAAATATAATAGTGAATACTGTCGAGTGATAATTATTTAATTTGCAGTATAATTCATATTCTCGATATTCAGTTAAATGATTTTCATTAAATATCAGTTTTATTATATATCTTGACACAGTTTCAGTTTATTATATATCGTATATTAATATATATCTTTTTCTTACAGGTATTGAAAACTGGTTATACGATGATGGAATCCAAAGCTTAATTAAAGAGTTTCATCTAACTCATATCACATTTTATGAAATTAGTCTCACACTTTTGATTAAAATGTTTTGAATAAAGGAAAATAGATCATGGAAGCCTATTTGAAAACAAACTAAAAGCTATTAATAGAGATTCTCATGTAGTACTTTAAATTTCACTATTTATATTCAGATAATCGAAGGCAAGAAATTGTCTCTGCAATGAATACGCAATACTACCATTTTTACTGTGGTTGCTTAATAGAAAATAATTCAGAAGTATTGTTCGATTTAATTTACATATTTAATTTTATGTGGTAAATTTTAACCCTTGTGAATGCAACATTTACAGATACATTAAATTAAAAAGTTGTAGCCTAATAATAAATATATTCAAATTTATCAACAAGAACATAATTAATTCAAATTCTTTTTCAATGCATTAGATACATTTTGCGTCTAGATGATTGCTTTTATTCTCACAGACTGTACATGTTCTATTGAAAGAAAAAATGCTTTTGTAAATAAACACAATATGATTTCAAAACTGTCGAATAAAGAAAAAGTATCAATCAATATATTAGTCACTGATTTCTTTCATTCAAGTAAAATACACTTTGATGCTCCTATAATTAAGACACAAAAACACGCCGAAATTTGTTGTTTGACTTCTAAATTTACACTTTGATGACTTTTCTCTTTGATAAAATGACATTAAAAGAATATTTAGTGCCATTTCATCACAAATTAAATGCCTATTAGCTGCACCCGTAAGCGTATCAAAAACTGAAGAAATAAGTGTCTTGAAACAACACTCTTCGGTCAGGGAGTATTCATATGAAATTAAATCATCTCAACGGACTTGGATTAAGAAATATATATTCAGTTTTCGTTTAGTTTGTAGAAACATTAGAAATTTTTTGGAAGCAGGCCAAGATAAAAATGAGCAATCGCCTTCGCCGGGAATCAAACCATGGACTTCTGGAATACCGGCCCAGCGTGCAGAACCACTACACCACGAAGACACGCTAAGAGGGAGGGAGAAATACCTTACAAGTTAAATAATTTGTATCTAATAGTGTACAAACTGATTATATAATCGTGCACAAATGAAAGTGAACATCCGTTATTTTTTACTCTTATATCCCTTTTTAAATTGCTACAAACAAAAAGCAAAAACCTTTTTTATTCTATACAAATTATTTAAATCTATACAAGTAATTGGGCAGCTTTTGTATAATTTATGGTATGCGTAGTTAAGACAAGCATTATCATTTTTATGCTAATTATAATATATATATATGGTGTGTGTGAGTGTGTAATACACATTTATGTTAAAGATGAACAAACTACATTACAAAGCATCCGTTCTTAAATTTATGTAGAAATTTAAAATTGGACTAAATTTTACTCGATATGAATTTCCCTGAATATAAATATCCACTTTTGAGTCATTTATCATGAGTAATTTTTATTTACGTCATCTTTTCTTTGAATAAGAATTTTTGATTTTGTGATGAATTTTGTCTTCGGCAAATTCACGGGTCCCATGACTACGTGAAAGCATCCAGAAATTAAAGTGATGTAGCCATGTATTTTGTGGATCCTATTTTGCTAATTATCCCTTCAATAACTGTAGTCGGTTACTTTAAAATCGGCACTTTGAGGTGGTAGCCACCCTCTTCTCACTTACGCTCTTAGCTTGTGTGAAGAATTTAGCAAATTAGAGGATATCCTTGTCGCATCAAGAGACTTTACTAATATGGTCATAACTATCTGAAACAGTATCCTCCTGAAAATCAGTCTGAGCATCTACTGCTTTCACGAAACCAAGCCTGATATTCTAACCCAATCATAAACAAACCCAAACAATCAATAAACAAAATACAATCCCATTCACCTACAAATTTATCACTCTAAGGAGCGAACAGAATGCAATGCTTTTCGCATGCTTAGCGTCCTAGTGTCTATGCACTAGCAGTACTGACCTGGTTTCCATACTTTCAAAAGACTTGCGCTTCCTAACACATTTTTCCAAGGAACTATTCTGCACCCCAGTATCTAATAACGCAAATGAAGGAAATCCATTTAGAATTATCTGCATAAGGGGTTATTCTACGTTCTTTAAGAATCTTACGACGAAGCGTTGCGTCTGTTTCAATTGATTGTTTGTAATTCAAATGTTGCAGCTGCATGTCATCATAACAAGGATTTTAGAACCTTATAACGTCTAAGTACAAAAATTATAACTTCGGAAAGCTTCTGTAAAGATAATTCTGTACTTAATACTTTTGTTAATTTCAATTTAGTATTTTACGCAAACCAAGCAGCGATGAATCATCATTCGCAAAGGCAAAGAAAAACTTGACTCCACGTGTTAGTCCTAAAAGCCTCCATCAAGATTAGTTGCAGAAGGTTTTACTCAAACATTTTAGCATCATGACATTTTAAAAATTTCTTTTTCACTTTATTATAATATTGATAAAAATTTCTTGCTAAATCAGCATTACTTCATCATTGATTCTAGGACTACAAAAAAGGGTAATTTACAGCAAAGTAGACCAAGACTCGACAAGCTGTTGTCCAAAATCCCCGGTGTTCTCTGCAAGTCATAAGAACTCTTAGTATCTTAGACCAGCATCTTCACACAAGGTGAAAATGAGTCATGAAATCACCGTCAAAAAACGTTAGGCTTTTCGTCACACAAAGCAGAGATACGATTTTGGATATTTTATATATTTGTAGAGTTCTCACTTTGTAAATGCTAATTTACAGTTGAACGTGAAGTACCTTAAGAACTTATAGTGTTGCGAGGCCGCAACTTGTCAGCAACAGTGGTAGTGACTGCTATGAACTGTAAATTACACAAACTCGTAAGAAGGGTTTAAATCCCTTTTTATTCCACTTTAGAAATAACAGCTGCGTTCACTTGAAGCTCACAAACGCCGACCCGGCGGTTTATCAAAACAGAAATGTGAAACTAAAAAATAAATGACAGGATGAATAAATAACGAGATCACTACCTAAGAGGCTCTAAAATCGTAACTAACTTAACCGCGTTCTAAGATACAGCTAATATTCAGCAAACTTACTGATTAAGCAGTTGAAGATTCAACGAACTGCCGGAATAGGCACACAGGCCGAAACGCGCGGTTCTTAAATTTCTACCTAGCAACCTTCACGCTCGCGATTCAAGAAGCACATATACAATCTCGTTTCCCTTCTATTTAAAGTCAATTTACTTCTGCTAAAATTTGAATAGACTGCGCGTTCTACTACAATTTACATACTCTGGCATTGGCAATTCTAGGGGAAAGTAAAGGCTTGGCAGGAAAGATAGCTTAAAATAAATGTTAGTTAAAATAAATATAAACCCTACAAACCGATAAGCAAATAATCGCTTGAGTTCGTGCAACAAGAAGCAACAAGATGTAAGGGTAAATAACCATTTATTATTCAGATAAGGTTTAACAGAACTCCGTCTTGGAGTGTACAATAAAAGCCGATACTTAGGCTTGAACTTAAGAGGCTAAGAAGTAAACTAAAACTAATATAAACTAAAGAGATATAGCCGAAGCTATCAAGATTCTAACCGAGTTGGCCCCTTAACGCTAACTTACTGCGAAGCTATCAAGGGCCTAACAACGGCCGAGAGTAATAATAGCTTATAAGAGAGAAGCCTAAAAAGGCGGACGCGTGCAGACAGAATACCTGGTAACTCTCTCGCTTAGACCGAAGAACTTCGCGGTTTAAATACCGCTCTTCCTCACTGTGTATTCAGCCGTGAATCTAAAATTACGTTCTGGCCGGAAGTAGTAAGCTGAAATTAAGAATTTGACAGGAAAGAAGTTTAACTCAAAATTTAACTGTTAATAAATTTAACATAATCCTTACTTATTTATTGCAAAGAAGTTTGAAATTGAATTGTATCTCTACGCAAAACATGGTAACGTTTATGAAGCATAGAATGCAGAAAGCGACACACATGCTATATCTGTAGATACGCTGAATAGCAAGTGTCGTTACTTAATGTTACCTATAATCATTAGTTCTAATATTCTTTGTCTTACAAAACAAAATGGAGCCGATACAGGTCTGAGAAACTCAAACGTCAGAGGCTGATGGCATAGGATCCGCATGGAATCAAAATTAGTTTGTTAAAACCTGTAGCGGTGCTCTAGAATGGAGATTTGAAATCAAAATTATCAAAACAGCAGCATGCAGGATTTGATTCATGTATCTTGTATGTTTATGTATTTATCTTATGTATTGCTATAAAATAAACATCCCTATGAAATTTTGATAAATATATACTAATTAAATAATTGTATCTGTTTATCTGTAACTGTTTATTTATTCAATAACATTCCATCATCTTTTAAGAATAAAGCCCATTGCTTCTATCTTTGTAGTTGCTAAAGTTAAGGTATATAAACTATATTTCCTCCTTTGATTACCATAAACAGTAGATAGACATCTAGAAGACATCCTGTAGCATGTGGATAAAAGAAAAGCAGCGAGCCTTGTCTCAGAAATTAATTAAGTTTACCAATATGAATAAGTATAATTATTTCGCCATTATTTCCGTCTACAAATCTATTTACTTTATTACGCAGATTGATTTGAAGGCATGTGGCATTAAATTATGTTATAAATACTTGCGGTAAGCAGGCATATTATTTAATGCATCGGTATTTTATTCCTGCATTAGGAATTAGCTTAATTACATGACATTAGACATTTAACAGAAACCGAAAGAAAATATTCGAAAAAAATAGGGTGACAATGTTTATTTAACATTATGAACCATGTAAACATATTTCCGTCCATAACCGTTGAATATGTACACTAAATATTTTTAATCTTTAGTCTTGCAATGTCACTAATTACAACTGTACACACACTTATTGCATTATTAGACAGCCGGGAATTTCAGAAACAGAAACATTTATCTTTGTTGGTTGTTATCGTTGTTTGAAGAAGAGAAATATATATTCTATTGTTTATCTGTATAGCAATTTAATAAGACTAAATTCAACCATGAGGTGATTTCTGATATGAAATATATTTTATTTTATGTGTGTTTGTACCTTAGTTGCAAATTTGGATGCCTTTGGGTTAGAAAGAACTTAATTAAAATTCTAATATTCAAATATGAAATTTATAACATTGTAAAACTCAGTGACTCAGTTACTCAGTAAAAATTAACTTAACAATTATTAAATTTTAGGGATGAGGAGTTCGAATAATCGCATTCCAGGAAGTTTGAAATAAGATTCGATATTTAAAAATTCGAAATGTTCTTAGTAAAAATATGTAAAGCTGTTAAGTATTTTAATTAAAATTGTGGAAAGATTAATTTTCTATTTATGAATTCATTAAAAAACAAACACAATTCTTGGGATTTCATCGGTATTTTATTCTGTCCTCTCCTGAGCAAGTATGCTTTTTGAATTCTGCTTTGTTTTTAGTGTTTACTTATATATTACCTCTCGAAATAATCTTCCCTTATCTATATTTGCTTTTATTAAAATTTATATTATAATATTTATATTTATTTTTTATTTATTTA